CTTTCTTCAACATTTGAGAAATGTATATTAAACATATTTTTCTAATTTTTTCATGAGTTTTTTGCATCATTTTGAATAACTTTTTTCCAAATGATTTCAGACTGCCATATAGAGTATCTGAAGTATATGACTCCGTCTTTCATTTATTCTATGATTCACTTTAGTTAAGTATTGTAATAAGTGCTAGAAATACCATAAGAAGTACAGCTCTGATCCAGAAGAATTTATACTCCAATGTTATATTTGAGTAAAAATAAAATAAGCAATTATAGCATAGTATTATCTAGAACTGTAAGGGATCTGAGATTCTAACCTACTTGCAAACTAACTAGTTAGCCTGCCACAGTTTCATAGATGCTGACACAAGGCACAAGGTACCTAGGTCAAAGAGAAATACAAACTTGTTGTTATCACTTCATTAAAACAAAATAAAGTGACTTTTTTGTTTGTTTTTACTTCCTCCTCTACTTTTCTTCTGTTTCTCTCTAAAGCAATATTTTTTTGGAAGGATTATATGTAATTGGTATATCTAATTATGTTCCTTTTCTCTCCAAACTCACTCCATTCACACCTTCACCACTCCACTGGAAGGATTATCTGTAATTGGTGTATCTAATTATGCTCCTTTTCTCAAGGCCACCAACGATTTCCACATTGCTAAATCCAGTGGTTAATGGGAGTGCTCATCGTGCTTGACCTAGCAGCAAAATTTGACACAGATGAACACACTCATTTCCCATTTTCTTCTTTTTTCTTCCATAAGAGTACCCTTTTCTTTCTACCTTTCTGTTTATTATCATTTTTAGCCTTTTCTTAAACTAATGAGAAAGAACATACAATCCAGAAATCTGTACAAAATAAAAAGATAGTGCTCATTGATTTATCACAAAGTGAACATTCATGTAACAACCACTCATGTAAAGAAATAGTTATCACCAATACCTCAAAAATTCCCCTTCTTCTCCTTCCCATCCATTATTTTCCACCTGTCTCTAAAAAGAAGCCAATTTTAGTAATCATTTCCTTTTGTTTATAATTTAGTTTGACCTGATCTATTAAAAACTTTATATATAAAGGAATTATTCAATGAATATGTTTTATGCCTGACTTCTTCAAGTCAGCATTATATTTGTGAGATTTAACCATGTTGCTGCATGTATATTTAGTTCATTTGTTTCATTGCTATATAACATTCCACCGTATATGAATATGCAATTATTTATCTATTTCATTATTGCTGGACTTTTGAGTTGCTGACAGTTTTTGCAATCAGAAATAATACTGCTAAACAATCTTGTACACATCTCTTTATGTAATTGTACATATGTTTTTATTGGGTATATAGTTAGGAGTGGGATTTCTGGGTCATGGGTATGCATATATTCAACTTTGGTAGATAATGCCAAAATGTTTTTCACAATGATTTATCAATTTATCCTCCCATCATCAATGTGTGAGAACTCCCATTTGTCTTCCCCAAACCTGATATTGCTAGTTTTAAAATTTTAGCTATAGCATTTTGATAAACAGTGGTTTTAATTTGCATTTTCTTATTAATGAGGTTGAACATCCTTTCATATATATATTGACCATTTGAATATCTTCTTTTATGAAAGCCTTGTTCAGAATTATTACTCATTTTTCTATTGGGATTATCTGCTTTTGTGATTTGTAGAGATTATTTTCACAGATTAGATGTAAGCCCTTTTTGGTTATGTGTGTTGCAAATATTTCCTCCCACTTTGTAGTTTACTTTTGTACTGAGTATTGTGGGATAGATGCTGTTGGTGTGCTACCCACATTGTCTTGGTATTCACTTTTGTGCAGGAAGACTTCTTGCTTGAAGCAGCTGAGACTCTTTCTGAAGACTTTCTCTGGCCATAAGAGAGGCTGGAAGGTATTAGGGAGTTGATACCCTGGCAGCAGCTCTTAACCAGTACTGAATAAGAGTTGATGAATAAATACCCCATTTTCCTTACCTCTGGTGATAGCTTCTGAAACTTACTCTATGTCATCACTCAGGTGTCTCCATCTCTCAGATGGAGACAATCAGAACATAGATGGAGACATCTGAGAGATGGAGACAATTTGGTAACTTGATCATTAATGTCTCCTGTATTGATATCCTTTTCTCCTCTGTCTTACTTCCTCACTGCCTTGCCTGTTTTTGCTGGAATTACTTTTTAAAATAAATTATTTGCTCTCAAATTCTAGTTTCTCACAGTTGGCTTTTGGAGAACCTTTCTTGAGTTAGTAATATCTTTTGATGAATAGAAATTCTTAATTCAAATGGATCTAGTTTATCAGTTTTTTCCTTCATAGTTAGTGTTTGCTATGTCCTGCATAATAAGTATTTACCTACTCTAATGTCTTCATTGTACTATGGAATTTTAATTTATGTGGGTGATTGAATGATAACCTGGAGACACTAATGCCATTGTTTATTACTTATAGTTCCCAAGAGGAGAGGGCATGCCAGGCAGGACCACCTGGGGAAGTACTAGGGTTGGTCGAGAGGCAGAAGGAGCAAGGAGAAACATGGGCAAAAATCCTTATTACTACAATGCCAGGAAGTTGCTAGGTATTGGGCAGTGCCTATTGGGCAGGAAGTAAAATATAGATGTTGAAGTTGTGATTAGAGGGTTTGTAATATGATTTTCACATGCCGATAAAAGCCAGACTGTAAGGGAGATGTAAACAACTTTAGCTGTTAGTTTCACTATGTGATTAATAGATGCCAAATCATCAATTACAAAATCTGCAAAAGTTATTTAGAACACATAAGGCCATTAAGATATTCTTCTTTATTAATTCCAGATATTTTATTGTTTTACCGTTTATATTTAGATCTACAATCCATCTGGAATTATTTTTTGTGTGTAGGGTGAGGGAAGGGCAATGTTTCTTTCTTTTCCCATATGGATTCATAATTCTACTGGTACTATTTTTGGAAAAGACACTACTTTCCCCACTGTTCTGCCGTTAGCCTTTGTCATAAATGAAGTGCCAATATATATGCTTGGGTCAGTTTCTAGACTCTTTATTCTGTTCCATTGGACTCTCTGTTCTTATGTCAATACCATCATTTCTTAATTACTATAATTTTATTAGAAGTTAACATTCATTACAGTTACTCTTTCCACCTTGTTCTTCTTCAGTGGTGTGTTAACTATTTTTGGAATTATCCCCTCGCCCTTTTTTGAGACAGGATTTCACTTTGTCACCCAGGCTGGAGTGCAGTGGTGTGATAATGGCTTACTGCAGGCTCAACCTCCTGGGATCAAGTGATCCTCCCACCTCAGCCTCTGAGTAGCTGGACCACAGGCATGTGCCACCACACCCAGCTAATTTCTTAAATTCTTTTTGTAAAGTCAGGGTTTTGCCATGTTGTCCTGGCTGGTCTCAAACTCTTGGATTCAAGTGATCTTTCCACCTAGGCCTCTGAGTAGCTGGACCACAGGCATGTGCCACCACACCCAGCTAATTTCTTAAATTCTTTTTATAGAGGCAGGTTTTGCTCTGTTGCCCAGGCTGGTCCCAAACTTCTGGACTCAAGTGATCCTCCTGCCTTAGACTCCCCAAATGCTAGGATTACAGACATGATCCATTGCACCCAGCATGAATTATTCTCCTTTAGTGATAGTGATGACAGCTGTTTTCTGTTTAGTGAATTTTATTTATTTTTAATCTTCCAGTTAGTTTCAGAGATCCATTGTAAGAGAATATGACATATCCCATTTTGGGGCTAACAACATTTATTATGTTATTATTATTATTTTTTTTTTTTTGAGACGGAGTTTCGCTCTTGTTACCCAGGCTGGAGTGCAATGGCGCGATCTCGGCTCACCACAACCTCCGCCTCCTGGGTTCAGGCAATTCTCCTGCCTCAGCCTCCTGAGTAGCTGGGATTACAGGCCCGTGCCACCATGCCCAGCTAATTTTTTGTGTTTTTAGTAGAGACAGGGTTTCACCATGTTGACCAGGATGGTCTCGATCTCTTGACCTCGTGATCCACCCGCCTCGGCCTCCCAAAGTGCTAGGATTACAGGCGTGAGCCACTGCGCCCGGCCTATTATGTTATCTTTTCTAAATTGATGCGTATGGTCATAGAACAGTCCAGGTATTGTGCAGAGGGACTATAGACCAGAGTATCTCAAAAAGAAACATCTGGCTGGACACAGTGGCTCATGCCTGTAATCCTAGAACTTTGAGAGGCCGAGGTGGGTGGATCACCTGAAGTCAAAAGTTTGAGACCAGCCTGGCCAACATGGTGTAACCCCATTTCTATAAAAAAAGAAAAGAAAAAAAAAGAAACATTTTCATATCAAGTACATTATAATTGTAGTATCCTAAAACTCTACTTCATCTTTCAGCATTGGTAAATTAGTCCAGGTATAGGAACATTCCACATTTCTCCAGGTTTGGCACCATTCCTCAACTCTAGAGTGCAATTTAATTTGTATAAAGTTTATTAATAAAATTTGGAATGTTGATGTTGCTTTATTTTGAAAAACTATAATTAAGATTAGTAGAGTTATGAAAATAGTTTTACTTGCACAAACAGGAATCAGTGAGGGAAATCCATGTTGTTTTGTAACTATCTGGAAGGTTTGGATTCAACCTTTTAAAATATCATCTATGTACAAATACTTGTTGTGCCTTTTTCTGTTAATGTTAGTCTTTTGGTGCTGCTCAGGATGGAACTGCATCTTCTTTTGCTATTCAGTTTAAATTGAACCCAAGAGATTGAAATATGAATGAAAATTGGATACAATGAGATAAATTCTTCTCGTTTTCAGACTTTTGGGAAACTAGTGTACTGGGTTTATTATGGTGGGTCAGTAATTTTTTTTTATCATCCTTTAGGCTTACCTTGTGGCTAGGCTGATATATATATAAATTTATGGAATATGCAAAGAGTAAGAATGTTCAAGAGGAAAACCCATTATTGTATTAAATATTTACGTTGTCCATCCAAATTTGGGTTTTTATCTTAACAGGTCAATGCTGCTGAATCAAAGATAACAAATTTAATATACTTAAAACATACCTTGGAACTTGTGGATCCTTTAAAGGTAATTTATATGTGTGTGTATCATACAAAACATGTCCAGCATTATTTATTAACTTTTTGTTGAGAAAAAATTTCAAACTCAGGGAAAGTTGCAAGAATAACATGGCGAATTCCCATATATTTTCTCTGTGTACATACTTTACACACATATACACATTATTAGCCTTATTATGCTTATTGAACCATTTGAGAATAAATTGCAGTACCTACTGATGCAATATTATTCTAAAATCAATGGGTTAAAGTTTGATGAGGATCGGGTTATTTACACATTCTCATATCTCATTCTCATATCAAATATGCAATACCATTTTATAATATGTATCCCATACTCAATTTTTAAAAATTGTCCTAACAATGTTCTTTATAGCATTTATTTCCTGATATAGAGTCCAATCAGGATCATACATTATATTTAATGTCATTTTTCAAAAACTCCTTTGAAGTGGAAAAGTTTCTCAGCCTTTTATTCCTGATACCGATGTTTTGAAGCATAAGGTCAATTTTTAAAATAGAAATTCCTCAGTGTTTGTGATTGCTTTCTCTTGATTAATTTCATCTATGTGTATTTGGCATTAATACTCTAAGAAGTATCCTTTTTAGTACATCACATCAGGAGACACATAATTCCATTTCCTCAAACTTGGTGATGTTAACTTTGATCAATTTCTTCACCATAAATTCAGATTTTCTTTTGTTGTTAATAAGTTACTAATCTATGGAGAGTTATTTTGAGAATATATAAATAACTCGATACTCATCAAACTTGCACCCATTGATTTTAGAATTAATTGATGACTCTTATCTGAAGTAATTATTACTCTGATGGTTACAAGATGATTGTCTCTTTAACTTTTAAACACTACACTGTGTAAAACTTATTTTTATTCAAGTGATAAAGGAACTGTTTTTGAAAATGAAATAATGAAAAATATGGAATCATTTTGTTATAGAGATTATTCTAATAAATATTAACATGTTTTGGCTGTGTCCCTACCCAAATCTCACCTTAAATTGTAAGAATCCCCACATGTCAAGGTGGGGGAGACCTGGTGGAGATAATTGAATCATGGGGGTGGTTTCCCCCATACAGTGCTTTTGGTAGTGAGTAAGTCTCACAAGATCTGATGGTTTTGTAAAGCGGAGTTTTCTTGCACATGTTCTTGCCTGGTGCCATTTAAAATGTAACTTTGCTCCTCATTTGCCTTCTGCCATGACTGTGAGGCCTCCCCAGCCATGTGAATCTGTGAGTCAATTAAACATTTTTCCTTTATAAATTACCCAGTCTCAGGTATGTCTTTATTAACAGCTGAGAATAGTGTGATATAGTAAATTTTACCAGTAGGGTAGGGTGCTACCATAAAAGTACCTGAAAATATGAAATTGACTTTGGAACTGGGTAACGGGAAGGGGTTGGAACAGTTTGGAGGGCTTAGAAGACAGGAAGATATGGGAAAGTTTGAAACTTCCTAGAGACTTGTTGAATGTCTTTGACCAAAATGCTGATAGTGATAATAAGATCTGGACAATAAGATCCAGGCTGAGGTGGTCTCAGATGGAGATGAGGAACTTTTGGGAACTGAAATAAAGGTCACTCTTGCTATGTAAAGAGACTGTCAGCATGTTACCCCTGGCTGGAGGTCTGTGAAACTTTGAACTTGAAAGAGATGATTTAGGGTATCTAGGGGAAGAAATTTCGAAGTAGTGAAGCATTCAAGAGGAAGTGCCACATAAAATTTTGGAAAATTTGTAGCCTGAGGATGCAATAGAAAAGAAAAGCCTATTTGCTGGAGAGAAATTCAAGCTGGCTGGAGAAATTTGCATAAGTAACAAGGAGGCAAATGTTAATCACTAAGACAATGGGGAGAATGTCTCCAGGCCATGTCAGGGACCTTTGTGGCAGCCCCTTCCATCACAGGCCCAGAGGCATACGAGGAAGAAATGGTTTTCTAGGCCACCTTGCTGTGTGCAGCCTAGGGACTTGGTGCTCTGTATCCCAGCTGCTCCAGCTATGGCTAAAAGTGGCCAAGGTACAGCTTGGGCTATGGCTTCAGAGAGTCTAAGCCCCAAACCTTGGCATCCTCCATGTGGTGTTGAGCCTGCAGGTATACAGAAGTTAAGAATTGAGGTTTGGGAGCCTCCACCTAAATTTCAGAGGATGTATGGAAATGCTTGGATATCCAGGTAGAAGTTTGCTTCAGGGCCGGGATTCTCATGGAGAACCTCTGTTAGGACAGTGTGGAAGGAAAATGTGGGGCACAAGCCCTCACACAGAGTCCTCACCAGGGCATTGCCTAGTGGAGCTGTGAGAAGAGGGCCACCATTCTTCCTATTCCAGAATGGTAGAGCCATCAACAGCTTGAACTGTGCACCTGAAAAAGCCACAGACATTCAATGCCAGCCTTAAAAGCAGCTGTGGGGTGCGGGGGGCTGTACTCTGCAAAGCACAGGAGCAGAGCTGCCCAAGGCTGTGAGAGCCCACTTCTTGCATCAGTGTGACCTGTATGTATGTGATCTTCTACATGGAGTCAAAGGAGATCATTTTGGAGCTTTAAGATTTGACCGTCCTGCTGGATTTTGGACTTGCATGGGGCCTGTAGCTTCTTCATTTTTGCCAATTTCTCCCATTTGGAATGGGTGTATTTACCCAATGCCTGTACCCCATTTGTATTGTAAGTAACTAACTTGCTTTTCAGTTTTACAGGCTCATAGGCAGAAGTGACTTGCCTTGTATCAGATGAGACTTTGAACAGTGGACTTTTGAGTTAATGCTGAAATGAGTTCAGACTTTGGGAGACTGTTGGGAAGGAATGATTGGTTTTGAAATGTGAGGGCATGAGATTTGGCAGGGGCCAGGGGAAGAATGATATGGTTTGGCTGTGTCCCCAGCCAAATTTTGCCTTGAGTTATAATAATCCCCACATGTCAAGGGCAGGACCAGGCGGAGATAACTGAATCATAGGGGCAGTTTCCCTCATACTTTTCTCCTGGTAGTGAATAAGTCTCTCAAGAGCTGTTGGTTTTATAAAGGGGAGTTCCTCTGCACATGTTCTTTCTGCCTGCTGCCATGTAAGACATGACTTTGCTCCTCATTCACCTTCTGCCATGACTGTGAGACCTCCCCAGCCATGTGGAATTGTGAGTTAATTAAACCTTTTTCCTTTATAAATTACCCAGTCTCAGGTATGTCTTTCTTAGAAGCATGAGAACAGACTAATACAAATATATATATAGTTGAAGTAATGTGGCAAAAGACTTCAAAAATGTTTTTACCTTTCTTATAATGAAAGAGGTGGAATAAATCACCAGGAAAATATTGAGAGATTTTATGAAACACAAATTTTAAACTTTGGTATGTCAAAAGCAAGTAAAAGGCAAAGATAGGAAAAATTTATAAAAAATGACAGTGTATTAGTCTGTTTTTGTACTGCTAAAAAGAACTACCCAAGACTGGGCAATTTATAAAGGAAAGAGATTTAATTGACTCACAGTTCAATATGGCTGGGGAGGACTCAGGAAATGCATAGTTATGGAAGAAGGAGAAGGGGAAACAAGGCACCTTTATTAAAAGGCAGCAGGAAGGAGAAGGAGTGCAGGAGGAACTACCACCACATACTTATAAAACAATCAGATCTCATGAGAGCTCACTCACCATCATGAGAACAGTATGGGGGAAACCGCCCCCATGACTCAGTTACCTCCACCTGGTCTCTGCCTGGACAAGTAGGGATCATGGGAATTATAGGGATTATAATTCATTATGACTTTTGGGTGGGGAGACAAAGCCTAACCATATCAGACAGACAAAATACTAATTTCTATCATCACAAAACTCATGTAATTTCATAGGAAAATATTGAAATCTCAATGGAAATATGGAAAATGACCCAAGGAAGGAAATCAAGGTGATTAATAGATGTTACCAAAAATGTTAACCTCATTATTAATGGAAGCAATACAAATTAAAACCATAGTTTTATATCTGTCAAAGCAGCAGACATTTTTGTTTATCTTAATGGATGTAACTCGTTTCTAATTAGAGATCTATGAGACAGACAACTTATTAAACAGCTGGTAGGAATACAAATTTCACATACTTTACAGGAAATTGTACTGGAAATGTTTGTAACATATATCTTTTGATCCTGTAATACTACTTCTAGAGATTTGTCTGAAAGAACTTTCCAGAAATGTTAGCTAATATTTATGTCCAACAATGGTCATTAGAGTATTATTTATTTATAACAGTGAGAAATTATAAGTAGAGTAGAACTTCAATAATTAGAGGAAGAGACTATTTGCTTTCCACAGAGTAGAATATTATTAATTATTAAACATTTTTTCCTTGAAAATTTTTTCATATGTATTATATAGTATAAGTTAAGCATCCCTAACCCAAAAGTTGAAAATTTTAAATGCTGTAGATTCTGAAACTTTTTGAGTACCAATGTGATGTCACAAGTGGAAAATTTTACATCTTGACCTTATGTGATGGGTTGCAGTCAAAATGCAGGTATTCAGCACAGTCTATTCAGCATCCTCAAGGGAAAAAAGACCCTCCCAGCTCCTTTCAGCTATAATATATCATTTCTGTGCACTCCCAGATTCTTATATGCAAATATGCCCACAAAGGGTAATAAAATGACACAGGGTCGGTTGTGCCAATGGCAGGTTTCCATGATGCCCCACATAGGACCAAGATGGATGTGCATTACTGTTTTTTACTTATTATCTGCTTGGTCTAGTGGTTAGGATAACAAAAACAAAACAAAGAAAATATCAAAAAGGCCTGCAGATACCCCTGTGAGTAGCAGTGATAAGAAAAAGAGGAATCACTTATGTTTATGTATAACACAGAAAGTCAAGCTATTGGAGAAACTGGACAATGTTTTAAGTGTGAAGGTCTTAAAGAAGCGTATGCTTCTTGGGATGACTGCCAGATATGACCTAAAGAAACAAATGGATAAACTATTGGAGTTCTATGCTGAAAGTGATGAATAGAAGCTAATGAAAAATAGAAAAACACTGCATAACATTTAAAAAAAGGGAAAGAATAGATCCATCTGCCTCACAGTGAACATATGCCACTTAGTGGTATACTGATCATGAAAAAAAGTGAAGATTTATCACAATGAAATGAAAATTGAAGGGACCTGTCAATATTCAACAGGCTGATTGCAGAAATTTAAGAAGAAAATGGCATTAAATTTTTAAAGATTTATGGTGATTGAGCATCTGCTGATCATGAAGCATTAGAGAAATTCATTGATGAGTTTGCCAAGGTCGTTGCTGATGAAAATCTGATGCCAGAACAAGTAGATAATGCTGATTAAACATCATTGTTTTGGCATTATTGCCTCAGAAAGACACTGACTACAGCGGATGAGGCAGCCCCTGTGGAAATTCAGGATGCCAAGGACAGAAAATAACAATGCTGGGCTGTGCTAGTGCAGCAGGCACACATAAATGTAAACTTGCTATGTTAGGTAAAAGCTTGTGTCCTCACTGTTTTCAAGGAGTGAATGAATTGCTTACCAGTTTATTATTATGGTAACAAAGTGGCCTGAATAACCAGGGATATTTTTTTTCCTATTGGTCTCACAAACATTTTATACCAGTAGCTTATTATGCTCACTGCAGGGACTCTGGATTGGATGATGATTTAAATATTTTATTATTCCTTGACAACTCTTCTGTTAATCCTCCAGCAGTTTTTGTAAAAAATAATATTTATTCCATATGCTTTCCCCCAAATGGGACTTCATTAATTCAGCCATGTGACTGTGATGAGAGTATCCTTAGATCAATGAAGAGTAAATATAAACTTCTTTTAATTTTTTATTTTAGTTTTGGGAGTACATGAGCAAGTTTGTTATGCAGGTATACTTGTGTCATGCGGGTTTGTTGTACAGATTATTTCACCACTTAGGTACTAAGCCTAGTGCCCAACAGTTGTTTTTTCTGCTCCTCTTCCTCTTCCCACATGCACAGTCCACCCTCAAGTAAGCGCCATTGTCTGTTGATACTATCTTTGTGTCTATGAGTTCTCATCGTTTAGCTCCCACTTTTAAGTCAGAACTTGTGGTATTTGATTTTCTGCTCCTGCATTAATTTGCTAAGGATAGTGACCTCCAGCTTCATCCATGTCCCTGCAAAAGGCATGATCTTGTGCCCAGGCTCGAGTACAGTGGCCCAATCATGGCACTGTGTACCCTTGAAATCTTTGGCTCAAGTAATCCTCCCACCTCAGTTTCCTGAGTAACTGGGAGTACAGGCATATGCCACTATGCCCAGCTAATTTATAAACAAGTTTTTATGGGCAGGAGTCTTGCTATGTTGCCCAGGCTGATCTTGAACCCCTGGCCTCAAGCAATCCACCTGCCACATCCTCCTGAGTCACTGGGATTACAGGTGTGAGTCACTGCACATGACAATGGAAAGTTTTCAAAGGGAGTTTAGTGTGAAGCATGCCATATATGCTGTTGCCAGTGCTTGGAACATAGTTACTAAAGACATGGTTGTGCATACCTGGCACAACCTCTGGCTTGTTCAATGATGATGATAAAACAAGGTGGTGACTTGGTAGGATTCCATATGTCAAGTGAGAAAAAAATTATGTCTGACCTCCTAAAATATGCAAAATATATACTTTCAGAGTCTGTCAGTAAGCTGGAAGAAGTGAGTATTGAAGTTTGTATGTATGTATGTATGTATGTATTTTTCTAGATGGAGTCTCACTCTGTCACCCAGACTGGAGTGCAGTAGTATAATCTCGGCTCACTGCAAACTCTGCATCCTGGGCTCAAGCCATCCTCTTACCTCAACCTCCCAAGTAGCTGGGACCATAGGCATGTACCACCATGTACAGCTAATTTTTTGTATTTTTGTTAGAGACAGGATTTCACCATGTTAGCCAGGCTGGTCTTGAACTCCTGAGCTCTAGTGCTTTGCCCACCTTGGCCTCCCAAATTGGTGAGATTACAGGCGTGAGCCACTGCGCCCGGCCAGTTGACATTTTTAACATCAATAATGAGGCCCCAGCTATTCATTCATCAATGGATGATCAAATAGAAAAAAATGGTTCTAGTTTAAGGTGATCATGGCAATAATGATGATGAGGATGATGTTGTAACACTGCAGAAAAAGCGCCTATAGACATGGTGAAAATGTGTGATGGGCTTATTGAAGATCTAGAGTTTTTATTAAGCACAATAAAATTCCTATCTTTACCATATAAGAATGGAGAAGCACACGTTCATAACATAACAAGAAATCATGTCAGTTATAAAATCAAAGAGAAATTTCTATGACAAAAACCATCATTAATGAGTCAGATGACTCTGGAGGAAACATTTTTAAAAGTTGTCCAGCAAAATGCCTCTGTATCCTTACAATACCCACTTCCTGGTCCCTTAACTGTTTCTGATGTTCCATTTCACCTAGAAAAATACAGTACAGTTTACAGTAACTACTTAATCAAAACATAGCATCATAGGTAGATACTGAAAATTGTTAGTTGTTGCTGTCATTTAAGAGCTGATGCAGGTTTTCCAGGGGTGCTACTGTGCTGTTACCTTGAGCAAATTTTTTCACTGGATTAATAGTATGTCATTTTTTTTACTGTCAAGTACTATGGGTAAATAAGTGTTAAAAAATGATTGTTTATTGGTAGCATACAAATTCAGGGTTAGGAATTATAGTACACCAAACAATCAGATTGTCCACATAAGTGACTGAAATAGTGATACCTTTGCTTTCTGATGATTCAATGTACACAGACCTTTTTTTTTTTTTTTTTTTTTTTGAGACAGTTTCACTCTTGTTGCCCAGGCAAGAGTGCAAGGTGCGATATCCGCTCACTGCAACCTCCCCCATCCACCCTCTGCAGGTTCAAGCTATTCTTCTGCCTCAGCCTCCCCAGTAGCTGGGATTACAGGCTTTTATGAACAAAATTATTTAAAATGTTGTATAAAATTACCACAGTCTATCGTATAAGGTGTATATGAAACATAAATGAATTTCATGTTTAGACTAGGTTTAATCTCCAAGATGTCTCATTATGTACATATGCAAATATTCAAAAATATGGAAAAAATCCAGAATCTGAAGCACTTCTGATCCCAAGCATTTCAGATAATAAATACTCAACCTGGATTAAGTCAGAGGCTTGGGAAGGAGCACACAATTATATAAAATTATTTATTTCAGATACTGACAGGAAAGATACTATATTTAGAATGTTTATCTTTAGAATGATAGTAGATTTAATTTTTTTCTTTATGTTTTGGTAAATTTTTAGTTTTTATCTGTGTGTATTATTTTCTATTCATGAGCCAAAAAATGTTATTACCATTGCTTCATATCAAACTAAAAAAGTAGGTAATGGTCGGGCTAAACGTGCTTTCTTCTCTTCTTTTCTGTTTATTTAGTTAGTGACCCCTCATAGTTTTCATTAAGCAAAATAAAATTCCTAGTTTTACTATTTAAGAATGGAGAAATTGCTCTGTTTGTGAATATACAGAGCACCTTTTTGGTTTAATGTATATCTAACCTAAATTTTGGAATTATATGTAGTGTACTCTGAATGTACAACAGTAGTTGTTTAAGTACCTATGTCTACAAGTCGTCAGATGTTAACAATTAGTAGGGAGGCAAGAAAAATAAAAGTTCTTATAAGCAGTGGATGGCACTTATTAGTCATGTATACTTTATCTGAAAAAAGAGAGAGATACTATCTGTCCTCAGCTACATGGCTAAAATATATTTCATGAGTATATAAATGAGGAAATGAAGAAAGCACTTGGTAAACTATAAAGCATTAAACAAATGTAAAATGATAACATTTGAATGATGTTGTAATTGATTATCCTTAACTTTTTAATTTTATTCTTTCATAGATTGCTATGAAGAACTGTAACGCACCTTTATTAAGAGCTTACTATGGTTCCTTGGAAGACAAGAGGTCTTTGTCACTCAACTGTTAATAGAAACTAAGATTATTCTCTTCTTCCTGATCATAACTGATTTTAAAGACTCTAGTTGTATGAACAAATATTTGAATTTTGGTTAACAGAATCTTTAACTTAGTCGTCAAAATTCTAATTGCATATTTTACCTTAAAAGTACAATAAATAGGGTAACAACACATTGATTGTTTGTGTTAATGGACAATTAGAATAGCATGAAAACTTGAAGTCCATGAACAATTTTAATATTTCTTTTTAAAACCATTCTCTATGGAAAGACTTGCAAATAATAAAAATATATTTCTTTATTTTGCTAAATCATCACAGATCTAATATAACAAAAAATAGTAGATATAAATATTAATAAATGTAATATTTTAAATTTAATAATTTATAATATTATATAATAATATTAAATAATAAATATTAAACAATCTAAACACAGTTTAATTTTAATAATGTTAAATTATTAGCAGTGGTTGTGGACTGAAGAACTTCTGGTTCTTCAGTAGTTTCTTGATTTGTGATACTTAAGAACTATTTTTCTATTAATTGAAGATTTATACTCTGTGTGAGGCCACATATTGAAGTTAATAATAAAACTGGCTTAATTACAAATAAAATATAGAATGGAATGAAGGAAAAGTTGAGGAAAATATGTGTTACCAGATTTCTGGTTTGTGTAATCATTTCACTTTGTCACTGATAATTGTGAGGTTCCTGTTATGCTGTTTACATACGTGTTTAGTGTCCCTTGCCTCTACTGAAGACAGGGATCATATGTTATTCTTCTCTGAATCTCTTCACCTAGCATAGTGCTTGATACATGGTGTAAGTTAATGTTTATTGAGTGAATGAGCATGAAGCCAGAATTTTTATAACAGTTCTTTAGAGATATATTTTATACCCACAGGCACATCAGTATATATAATTTAGGAGATCTATTAGCAGATGTAGAATTGTTCTTGGGGTCCTGATACTGTTTTAGACTAGTCCTGTCTGATGAAATAGTTTAAAATTGAGATAATCAGAGCTCTAACTTAAGTAAATTTAAATATTTATTGCTTAATTAGCTATTTCAAAATACATTTCAACAAAAATTTGCTACCTACTGTGATTCAAGTTATAAATTAAAATAACTCTTTGACTTATTGCCTATAATATTTTTCTTCTTGACTTAATATTAGATTTGGAATCATACTTGAAAAGATTAAAACAGTAATTAATGATGATGCAAGATACATGAAAGGATGCCTGAACATGAGGACTCAGAAGTGCTATGCAGTGAGGTCTAACATAAATGAATTTCTTGACATAGCAAGAAGAACATATACAGAGATTGTAGATGACATAGCAGGTAATTTATTTATTTGATAATGCTTTTTATTTTTGTAGGGATGAAACAGACTTTTTAAGACATACTGTAATTCTTTGCTACTAACTAGCCATACATATTTTTAATTTATTTTTTGTTACCAAAACATAAGGTTAGCATGTATTTCCATTTAAGGAAACAGCATATGTAGCAGCCTTCATACTGAACTCCTTATGAAAAACTTCCGTTGCCAGGTGCATTAGCTCATGCCTGTAATCCCAGCACTTTGGGAGGCCAAGGAGGGCTGATAGCTTGAGCGCAGGAGTTTAGACTAGCCTTGGCAACACAGCTAGTCTTTTGTAGAGACAAAACTTTGTCTCTACAAAAAATGAAAAAATTTGCCATGCATGTCGATGTATGCCTGTAGTCTCAGCTACTCAGGAGGCTGAGGTAGGAGGATCACTTGAGCCCAGGAGGTAGAGGCTGCAATGCATTGTGATTGTGCTGCTGTACTCTGCCTGGGCAACAGAGTGAGACCCTGCCTCAAAAAAAAAAAAAAAATCATTAGAGTTTGAAAGAGTAACAAGACCTCTTCTTTAAGTATAAAATAACAATAATTTAAAAACCATATGACTCTTTAAAGCAGAGTTATTTTCTCATTAAAATTTATTCATTTTGTTTTGTTTTTGTTTTTCTTGTTTCTGGTCACCAGGAATGATATCACAGCTTGGAGAAAAATATAGTCTTCCTTTAAGGACAAGTTTTAGTTCTGCTCGAGGATTTTTCATCCAGATGACTACAGATTGTATAGCCCTACCTAGTGATCAACTTCCTTCAGAATTTATTAAGGTTCATTTTAGAGTGGTTAGAAAATTATTGTTTCTGATTTTATAGAATTACATCTACATATCTTTGGGACTTCTTGAGTTTTACAAGCCAAATTTCTGAATGTTCTATTTCTTCTCCTATTCCTACCCACCTACCTAACTAATATACTTATCTAAGAGTGACTTAGAAGCTTTTACAGAAATACCAAACTCAGTGTTTCCCACAGTTCTGGGAGCTTGGTGTAAGAAAAAAAGGAACATGAAGAAAGAATACCCAAAAGCTGTTTATAATAAAAGAAATTAGGAAAATACCACACCATTTGCCTGTTAAATATTTTAAAAGACCTGAAGTAAAGAAATCTACTTAGCTTTAAAAAATCTAATATTTCCAAACCTTTATACCACAGTAATAATTTTTCCTATATAGCTCTTTTACAATATCCAGTTTGCGAGGGTCTAACCCACTCTAATCTTTGTTCTATTTGCTTCTGGGGATACTTTTTGATAAGAACAAACCATTTAACTTTCAGGCTTTTAGATATTAAGATTAGAGATTGAGTTGAGGTTCAGATATAGGACAAGGGGTGCGACAGGAGTCGAAGATGGAGTAAGGATCATTTATGTCCATCATGCATGTTACTTGGTAATAAGATGCAGTGTTTTTAATGTTTTAAGACCTACCAGAATAGTCATCCCAGATGAACTAGGTCAAAATATCCTGCTTTTTAAGGATGAATGTATGGGTTGAAAAAAAATCTGGCTTTATCCTTTGAAGTGATCTTCCTTTTATGTTTCACAAATGTTATTTAGAACTTTCTTTGTAATACCATATCTCAAAGATTAAAATTATTAACCTAAATATCCATATTTCTGTTGTTTAAAATCTTATGTTATATTTCATAATAGTGTGCACTTATCTTGATAATTGTTTTTGAACCTCCCAGATTTCTAAAGTGAAAAATTCTTATAGCTTTACATCAGCGGATTTAATTAAAATGAATGAAAGATGCCAAGAATCTTTGAGAGAAATCTATCACATGACTTATATGTAAGAGCATTTGAAGTATTTGAATACTGAATTAAATTGGTTTAATTTGAGAAACTGTGATCAATTTTATTAGTTGAATTTTTGTCTAACTACAGACAATTGTAGAATTATGTATGTTAACAAAGACAGTCTGTTATTATGATTAGAATCACTGAGCCTCACAGAAGCTTCGGGGAAGATCTATTTGTAAACAAATACTATTATAATTGATATTTCTGTAATATGCATTCTACCATGATGTAGAACTTGGCACATTATGGGTTTACCTGGGCTGCTTTCAGTTTATTCTTTTCCTATAGTCTGTAAGCCCTCGGCTTCTTATACCTTGATATTAATAATTCAATAGCAGTATCACAATAGTGTCAGTTCTTTTGCTGGTCCTGATACGGTAGCAATACGGCCAGAAAGAAGAAGGACATTTAGAACACTTACTGGCTCAGGTAATAGAAAGGTTGGGCTTTGAAGACAATTTCAAGGCATGTGCCACAAACATTTTAATATATTATAAGTTTTGGGTACATATTTATCTTTGCAAGAGGAAAATTTTTTGTACTATATTACGGTATAACTCTGCCTTATAAAAACTTAAATAACTATATGATTCAGATGTTGTGCCTGTGTGCATGTGTGTGAGTGAGAGAACGAGAGAAGAGGAAAGAAAAAACAGGTGAGAGGCAACATGCATATAGCTTTTGTGTGGAACTAAGCATTTGCAAATTCACAAAATGATTAGGAAATGGGATCTGCCCAAGTATAATGAGGGCTTGATTTCACCTATCAAATATTTTTATTAATAAAAACTTATTAATATCAGATAAAAGCAGCTATTTCAAAAATATGTTAATACACCAGAAGATAGGTTCTTTGCCACTAAATAGCTGTGATCTTGAACAAAAACTGCGATTTCCTCGTCTCTAAAATGAGATAGTTGAAAAATAAGCTTTATCTATAGTATATAATTGAGGTGTGAATGTTATTTTACTTCAGCTAATGAATTTAATATTGTTTTACAATTACAATGTATGTCCCTTTTGAAAAAATATTATTACATGTCTTACCAAACATGTGTTTTCAGGATAGTGTGCAAACTGCTTAGTGAGATTTATGAACATATTCATTGCTTATACAAACTATCTGACACTGTTTCAATGCTGGATATGCTACTGTCATTTGCTCATGCCTGCACTCTTTCTGACTACGGTAAGTTTCTTTGGAAGAAACATGTTGCATACTTAAATTTGTATTCCTTTCAAACAATTTAATGTAATAATTGAGACATTTAAAATTTTTAACTTGAAATAGAGTCTCTTGTTTCAGGTCCTAGACTAAGACACAAAATAATTTTTTGGGGGGAAACTAGGGGAGGGATAGTGGGGGGTGGGGATTGGGGAGGGATAACATGGGGAGAAATGCAAGTTATAGGTGATGGGGAGGAAGGCAGCCAAACCACACTGCCATGTATGTACCTATGCAACAGTCTTGCACGTTCTTCACATGTACCCCCAAACCTAAAATGCAACAATATATATATATATATATATATATATATATATATATATGTATAATAAAGTAAAAAATTGTTCTGTCAGAAATTGGCAAACCAAAAAGAAAAAACTGCAAGAAACTAAAGATTCCCCAAATAAGAAAAACTTCAAGAACTGCCTCCTTGGTAAAAATGATAATGATCTAAATTTATAAAGTTCAAATCTGAATACTTATTAGAAGTAGTGGGATAAATATTAATAGAGAGAAATGCATCTCCAGAGTGAGCATTTTAATCTGCTAGCTCCTTAGATGTGAACATACCAAGATCAGGAGTTATGTAATTTATTTTTATATCCCAAGTCCATACAAAGGCCTTGAATATAAATGTTTAGTAATTTTCTCGTGTTAAATGAATACTTCGAGTTAGTGCTTTGACATTTCTTATCTAACTTCTCAGTAATAACCATACTCCAGTATGCAAATTTACTGGACTAATATGTGATAATTATGGTTGAATAATTGTATACTTCATTACATTAAAAACATTTAAATTTCTAATGTAAATCAGCAGTAACATTTCTAAAATGTCATGTTAATTTACTTTTATGGGAAGTATCTTTTAAGATTTTTTCATATTTCTTATGGAAATATTAACTTTTTCCGTTGGTATTTTATAGGCCAAAACTTTTCAAACTTTTTTATCTCTTTTGAGTCAAAACTCTACTTTAGGGGACAGGTATTCCAATAGTAGTTAAAAAAAAAAAAAACTATTAAGAGATTTAGTATTGCTTCATTTTAGTTTGTGAGGGATCATTCTGAAACTCCAAATCTATAAATAATGAAATTTTGGAAATACTTAAATTTTTTTTTCTAACTAACCTCACTTTTATGATGAATGTTTTCAAGTTTATCTATGCATTTTAGATAAAGGTATGTAGCATTTTGGTTTTCACATATTCTTTCACCCTCTTCGTCTTCCCTGTGCCTCAGGTGGTATCCATAGAAACCTGATCATTATTTGTTTCTATAAATTACCAAATCATTTGTGTTGATCTTCTGTATTCTCTGAAATTTCCTTTTATACAAAATTTTTTCATGGGCTTAGAATTATTTTTATATTTCATTTTATTCTGTAATCATACCTCAATTTATAAGCGAGGTGTTTGAAACCAGCCTGGGCAACATAGCAAGACCTTATCTCTAAAAAACAAATAGTGATAAGTGGTGGCAGGTGCCTGTACTCCCAGCTACTTGGGAGGCTGAGGCAGGAGGATGGCTTGAACCCAGGAGTTTGAGTCTGCAACAAGCTATGATTTTGCCACTATATTCCACCCTTGATGATAGAGCAAGACCCTGTCCCTAATAAATAAATAAATGCTAAGTGTGCCAAATTTGAAATACTATTTAATGTAGGGAAATAGTGTTTAAGGTAGACCAAGTAAATGTGCAACTCTGTAGTACTAGTAATCAATTATGATTTTTAAAGTACTGTCAATGAATACTTGGTTCTTTTTATTTTTATTTTTTTGAGACAGGGACTCACTTTGTTACCCAGGCCTGGAGTGTACTGGTACAATCTCAGCTCACTGCCGTCTCCACCTCCCAGGCTCAAGAGATTCTCCTATCTCAGCCCCTCAAGTAGCTGGGACTACAGGCATGAGCCTAGCTAAATTTTTTTTTTTTTTTTTTTTTTGTAGAGACAGGGTTTCACCATGTTGCCCAGGCTGGTCTTGAACTCCTGAGCTCAACCAATCTACCCTCCTTAGCCTCCCAAAGTGTGCTGGGATTACCAGTGTGAGCCACCACACCTGGTCTACTTGGTTCTTTTTAAACTACTCATAGCTGAAAATTTTATACACTATTTTGGAGCTCAGGATAGGATAAAGAACTGAATTCTAGAGTTCTCTGGAAGTGAGTAAAAGTTGTGATAGTGATTAGAATATGTCCATCATAATTTAGAGGAATTTGGGTGGGAATTTGGGATAAAATGATACCTTAATATTATTATTTCAAATTGACTCTTGTAAATATCACTAAGATATAGACAGTACATACATACCATGAAATCTTTAGGTACAAATATATTAATCTTTAAAAACCATTCTATTTTTTTTCTTAAGTTCGACCAGAGTTTACTGATACTTTAGCAATCAAACAGGGATGGCATCCTATTCTTGAGAAAATAACTGCAGAAAAACCTGTGGCCAACAATACCTATATTACAGAAGGGAGTAATTTTTTGATCATAACTGGACCAAATATGAGTGGAAAATCCACATATTTAAAACAGATTGCTCTTTGTCAGATTATGGCCCAGATTGGTAAGTTGTGGCTTTATTTATAATGACCACTTTGACACTTAAGCTTAATTAGATCCCATTTGTCTATTTTGGTTTTTGTTGCCATTGCTTTTGGTGTTTTAGTCATGAAGTCCTTGTTTATGCCTATGTCCTGAATTATATCGCCTAGGTTTTCTTCTGGGGTTTTTATGGTGTTAGGTCTTATGTTTAAATCTTCAATCCATCTGGAGTTAAATTTTGTATAAGTTTGTAAGGAAGGGATCCAGTTTCAGCCAACTTCTGTTTTATAAACATAGTTTTACAGTTGGTTCTTTTATTTTTCCACTTACACAAACATCATTTGCAGAAAGTGATAATTCTGCCTTTTTATTTCCAGTGTTTTTGCTTTCCATTTCTTTTTCTCTAATTGTTTTGACTAAGACTCTCAGAAGAATATTAAACAATTATGGTAAGTTAGTGGGTATACCTGCATTGATCCTGACTTAAATGGGAATGTTTCTGATGTTTTCTTATTAAGCATCAGCTGAATTAATTCATATCATTGTATTCACGATGTATCCATTCTTATTGTTTGAGTTATTATAATTATTATTAATCAAGGTGAAATGTTGAATATTATTAAATGCTGTCACTGGCAACTTTGAAGATGCTCATGTAATGTTTCTTAATATAGTGAATTGTATCAGTAGGTTTCTTAATATTGAAACCTATCTTCCTTCTTCATATGAACTTATTTTATATGTTAAATAATTCTGCCCTTCTGTTGATCAAATTCCATTTTCTAATATTTTAGTTAGAATTTTTACATTGATATTTATACACAATTAGACTATAGCTTTTTGTGTGCTATTTTTTTAATGTTTTTATGTTAATGTTATGCTAGCTTCATGGAAATAATTTAAAAGTTTTCATTTTTTTCCTGTAAGCTCTAAAACAGTTTAAATAACATTGGCACTATCTATTCCTTAGATATTTGTTAGAATTTATTTCTGAAATCACATGAGTTCTTTGCTTTTGGGGAAGGTAAATTAAACCATGTACTCATTATCTTCTGTATTTTAGTTGATATGTGTATGTTTGCTATCTTGATGGATGTCTGTTGGCCATGCTCAGATACCATCTCACTCCAGTTAGAATGGCGATCATTAAAAAATCTGGAGACAACAGATGCTGGAGAGGATGTGGAAAAATAGGAACGCTTTTACACTGTTGATGGGAATGTAAATTAGCTCAAGCATTGTGGAAGACAGCGTGGCAATTCCTTAAGGATTTAGAAATAGAAATACCATTTGACCCAGCAATCCCATTACTGGGTATATACCCAAAGGATTATGAATCATTCTGTTATAAAGACACATGCACACATATGTTTATTGTGGCACTGTTTACAATAGCAAACACTTGGAACCAACCCAAATGCCCATCAATGATAGACTGGATAAAGAAAATGTGGCACATATACACCATGGAATACTATGTAGCCGTAAAAAAGGATGAGTTCTATAACTAAAGACAAAAAAATAAAGGGATGAGTTCATGTTCTTTGCAGGAACATGATTGAAGCTGGAAACCATCATTCTCAGCAAACTGACATGAGAACAGAAAACCAAACACTGCATGTTCTCACTCATAAGTGGGTGTTGAACAATGAGAACACATGGATACAGGGAGGGGAACATCACATACCAGAGCCTGTTGGGGGGTGGAGGGACTAGGAGAGGGATAGCAGGAGGTGAGGGGTTTGGGGAGGGATAACCTTAGAAATACCTAATGTAGATGACAGGGTGATGGATGCAGCAAACCACCATGGCATGTGTATAGCTATGTAACAGACTTGCACAATCTGCACATGTACCCCAGAACTTAAAGTATATATATATTTTAAAAAGTGAACATAAAAAAGAAAAATTTATTGAGCCCAAGACATTAGTAGTATCATGGGTGAGAAACCTTGGTCTAATGTAATGAATTGTAAGGGGAACAAAGCAATAATAATGTTGGTGATACAGTACAAATTCACCCTTTGTACTGGGAAATGAAATCAGAGATTAATGAGTTAATGAAGAGTAAATATTTTATTGATTTTGTAGGTTTATTGGAATTAAAAGGACATCTTAGCTAATTTCCCTCCCCTTATAAGAATACTTTCTAATTCATGTAAGACATAATACTTTTATTTGAATAGCAATGAGGAACTCTACAGGCTGTCCCATTGCTGGACAGCCTTAGCTGTTAGAGTATTCATTACATTGAACTGAAACCTCATTTCTATAATTTCAGCTCATTAGTCCTTACTCTTCTATGTACTACAGAATAGTCTAGTATTTTTTCCCAATATTAGTTCTTCAAATTGAACTTGAAGATTATTTTTATACTTCTCTGGTTAATGACCATCTTAAACCTCTGAAACATAGATGATATTTCATATAGTCTGACCATAAGATACCAGTGGGACTTGAAAGGCATGGAAGTTAGGAACATAGACTTTGAAGGTAGATCTTGCTTGCCCAGTTGCTAGCTATGTCATCTTAGGCAAATTACTTAACCTCATTAAACCTTGGTTTTCCTATCTGAAAGTGAAAACTACAGTAACACTCACTTCTAATAATTCTTATAAGGACAGGTAACAAATAAAATGCTATGGATTTTAGGGGAAAGTATGGAAAAGAAGGAGACTTCCCAAGCAGAGGTAAGAGTATGTGCTAAAACACAGCAACCCCCCAAAAAAAAAAAAAAAGTATGATGTGCCCAGGCAACTAAAAAAAAAATAGGACAGAGGCCTTGTACTTCCTTTACTTTGTAGAGTAAAGACTAACTGTGAGAAATAGTAGAATATAAAGCTGGAGAGATGGGCAGCAGTTAGGTCATGGAGGGCTTTAGGTATTTACCCAAGGAGATTGAGTTTATCCAGTAATCTGTAGGGAGCTATTGAAGAAATTTAGGTAATCCCAGCACTTTGGGAGGATGACGCGGGCAGATAGCGAGGTCAAGAGATCAAAACCATCTTGGCCAACATGGTGAAACCCCATCTCTACTGAAAAATACAAAATTTAGCTGGGCGTGGTGGCGCGCGCCTGTAGTCCCAGCTATTAGGGAGGCTGAGACAGGAGAATTGCTTGAACCTGGGAGGCAGAGATTGCAGTGAGCCAAGATTGCACCACTGCACTCCATCCTGGTTCCTGGCGACAGAGCAAGACTCTGTCTCAAATAAAGGAAATTTAGTAAGAGAATGGCATGATCAGATTTGACTTTTAGATAGATCGTTCTAGCTGGAGCATAGATGAGAGCTAGACTAGAAGCAAAAATACCAGCCAGGAGGCTTCTGTCATAATCTAGATAAGAAAGGTTGGGAACCTTTTTGATGGAGGTTAAAAGAGCAGAGAAAATACGAACATATACCACTTAATAATATATATATTACCTTCACATTTATTTTCTTGGAAATTCCATAAGAAAGCTGTATTTAAGAACTCGCTGTGTTCTGCTCTCCGAGGGCAGGGCTCATGTCTGTTTATTTACCCTAACACATAGAAAGGCTTCAATAAATATTTATTAAATTTCTATAAAATGAGAAAAGTCAGGCTCAAAGACTTGCCCAAGATCACCCAGTGTCAATCCTTTACCTTAGTCTTCCCCATTTGCCCCATTATACTGTTTGGTTCTGTGTCCCCACCCAAATCTCTTGAATTATAATCCCTATGTGTTGAGGGAGGGACCTGGTGGGAGGTGATTGGATCGTGGGGGCATTTTCCCCCATGCTGTTCCTGTAATAGTGAGTTGTCACAAGATCTGATGGTTTAAAAGTGTTTGGCAGTTCCCACCTTGCTCTGTCTCTCTCCTGCTCCCATATGAAGAAGGTCCTTGCTTCCCCTTCACCTTCCACCATGATTGTAAGTTTCCTGAGGCCTCACCAGCCAAGCAGCATTGTGAGTTAATTAAACCTCTTTCATTTATAAATTACCCAATCTCAGGGAGTTCTTTTTAACAGGGTGAAGAAGCAGACTAATACACCCCAGTAGCTAATATTGAATGTTCAATATGCCCATCACTGGTCTATGTACCTTGCATGATAATACGCATTTCACATCTTCCTGGAAACTCATAGTACATGTATCATAATACATGTACTGATTATCTGGTTAATACTTACAAAAATATGATAAAGATTATTAGCTCCATGTAAAAGATGAGTAAGTCAAAGTATTGAGAAGGAATTTGTCCATAATCATATAGTTTGTAAGAGGCAGCACAAGGAATCAAACCCATGCAGCCTGACAAATAATCTTTGCTCTAAATTAGCAAATTGTCCCAAGCCTTCTCCAGAATCTTAAGAAGGTGGCAGGTCATTTCTATTATCTTGGAAATAGAGAGTTTGTTTCTGTTTCTGTTTTTGTTTTGAGCCAGATGATTCGGATCAGATTCTGGCTCTGTTACTTCATTGTTTATTTTCAGCAAACATCATGAGATTATGTGTCAGGAGCCACTTTAGGTTCATAATTTATGCTTTTGTCTTTCTTTCTTTCTTTTTTTTAATCAGCCCCACATAATTTATGCTTTTAGGTAAATAAACAAAAAAATAGAGAAGAATGGAGGAGATACATCTTTCTCATTTTGTGATCCTGAGCCTCCACTTTTTCATTTGTGAAATGACAAAAATAATACCCAATTTAATAGGTTATTTTGAAAATTAGGAAGAGTGGATATAAAATGCCTAGTATGTAGAATGGTAGATGCAGTCATTATAATTACTACTGTTAAGATTATTACTTTTGTTTTCATTAGTATTAGCCTGACTTTTAGTTTTGTTTTCTGCTAGTCCTTATTCCTCAGAGTTAGGCCTTATTCTTTATCCTTATTTTTGTTTTTAATCTTGGAGTAACCTGGCTTTGTTTTTTTGCTCCTGTTATTTTATGATTTTATATATACAGAATTCTGTATATGTGGTACTTTTCCCATTAAACTATTTGTATATTTTATCTTCTTATAATGTTAGAATGCCTTTTAGATTTTATTCTGTATTGGGATGGATGCCTTAATCAGATTGATTTGTTTTCAAAAAATGAATATTTTAGTTAGCACGATAACTTATTGGCAGGAACAGCCTTGTAGGTAAATATTCACTTTTTTTCTTTTTATTAATTTTTTGCTTTGATTTTGCTTCTGAATGTTTCTGCATGTTTGTAATCATAGAAATTTATTTTATAATGATTTAATTAACTTCAGCTTTATAGGCATTTTCTTCAGATTTTCATATTTCTTTTTTAAAAATTTATTTTTGACATATAATAATTGCACACATTTAAGACATACATAGTGATGTTTCAGTACATACCATGTATAATGATTAGATCAGTGTAATTGGCATATTATATTCATAAACTTTATAAGCATTCTTTTCACATTTTAACATTTTGAATGTTCTTTATCATTCAACTAAGTTATTTAAAAATTTATTGAGTTTATAACAGTCTCTTTCTTATGTACTTGAATATCTGCTGTCTCATTTGCACTTCTAGGCAACTTTGTACAGTAGGTAGGGCAACAATTTTTATTTTACATATGGGTAAGATGGAACTTGGAAAGTTTAAGTGCTGTCTAAGCTTATATAATAAGGATAGAGCTGGGGCCATGTCTTCTAATGCCATATCTAGTGTTCTTTCTACCATATAATCTTTGTAAATCTGAGAAGTGCAAAATGTTATTAGACTTATATTTTATAAGCACATTTCAATTTATCTTGACCTTATGTTTTACAGGATCATATGTTCCAGCAGAATATTCTTCCTTTAGTACTGATGACGATATTGAAACAAATTCATCAACATTTATGAAAGAAATGAAAGAGGTACCCAACAAAACTTTTCTTATGTTAAAAACATTAAATTCTCTCACTAATGATCAGTTATCACATAAAATATTTTTATACTAAAATATGCAGAAATGTTTATACCCTTTTCTAAGAGCCAGAGGGCAGTCAAAGACAGCCTCCTAATTTCTGTTTTATGTAGAAATAGAAGAGAATGTTTCATTGAAGAATACAGTTTTAAGAGAAAGAGCTAGTGTTATTGAGTAATAAAAGTGTGCTTAAATGTTTTTATAGGGAATATGTGAAAGACTTCAGAAAATGATGACTGGTTCAGTATCGTTTTCCGTAATATTTATTGTTCCTCATAGGTTTGATTTTAAAACAAAAAAATTGTTGTGTTAGAAGGCTTTCAAAAATCATCCTTTTCTTTGTTCTTGTAGAATTTTCACTTCTTGTACCAAAGAATCACCTTTTTCTGATTGAGCAAACATTGAGGAGGCTTTAGAACTAAAGGAATTAAGTGTAACTTGTGGGATACCTGTATTAAAAATTATGGGATCCCTGTTTAGTTAGATAATTTTCTTCAAGTAGATAGGTGGTAAATAAAGTTATCATTTGTCCCACAATTTGTATGATTATTTATTGTGTATTGAATATAAGAGAGCATAGCAATATACTAGGCACTTAAGGTATATTTTTAAATGGTCCTAGCCCTCAGAAAGCTTAGTCTCCTAGAAAGATAAAATATCCATCAAAGTTACTATTGTGTCAAAGTATAATAAAGGTAAAATTTTGTTTTTGAGAAAGGTTAATAATCTTCATTGGAAATGAACACTTCTGTCAATTTAAGACTTGGTCTACATTGGTTATGTATTTAAATTTATTTGTTAAACCAATAGTCATGACTTAGGTACTTTTTCTTAATTTTTTTTACTTCATCTTTACTGGATATAAAGTAATACTTAAATAAATTTTAGAGATGATTTTGGATATTTTATAACAGTAATTGATTAGTCATTTTTTGAGAAGAAAATGACCATCTTTGTGCTTAGTTTAAACATTTATTTAATTGCTTTGTTTCACTGTATCTAAAGCATCAATATTTTAAATAATGGTTATTTACTCTATGTTGTCTCATATACATATTCAAATGTCTAGTTATGTACACATCAGCTATTCTATTGGAATTATTAGTGATGAGATTTTTAGAAAAGAAAACAATGTGTTATTTTCTGCTCGGCAGGATGTCTCTGTAAAAATACGTTTCAGATAAACTTATAAAAGAGACTGGATTTTTTTTCGTTTTTTTACTGTGATAGTGACAGCTGTTTGGTTACAATGAATATATATTAAAATTATATATTTCAGATAGCATATATTCTACATAATGCTAATGACAAATCGCTCATATTAATTGATGAACTTGGCAGAGGTACTAATACAGAAGAAGGTATTGGCATTTGTTATGCTGTTTGTGAATATCTACTGAGCTTAAAGGTATTGCTTTATTTTAAATATGTTAATTTTGAGTCCTCTTTATGTATTCTTTTATTATTATTGAATTTTACAGATACCCACAAATAGCTTTTAAAACAATTTAGGTAGTCAACACATATAATATTTATATTTTTATTACTTCATTTCCAATGAAAGTGGGACTCATTAGTTTGATAGCCATGATATAGATAAGGAAAACATGAAATCAAGAAATACAAACAACACAAAATTAGTCAATTGGCTTTAATTTCATAAAATTAAGTAGCAAAATATGAAGGTCTTTCAGTAATTGTCTCCATGTGCAATAATGTTGACGACAATGTTACAACAGGAAGTAAAGCACTAGGCATCTCAGGTAACTTTACAAACAATCTATTTCACCTACCTAACTAAAATTTTATCCCTTTAAATAGCTTTTCACAAATCAACTATGTAGAACATTGATTTTTGCTCTATTAATTAATTTATAAAATATATTTTTAAATGATCACTCACAATGTATACAGATATGAACAAAACATAAATAAAAATGCTTTTCTTATTTAATATACCTTAAAATGTCCCTAAGATGAAATTATTTCATCTTATTCATTTAATGAAATGAATTTCATATTCATTTAATGAATTAACTTCATCTTAGGAACATTTTAAGGTATATTAAATAAGAAATATATTATTAAATAAATATATATTAAATAAATATATTTATGGACCTTAAATGTAAGTCCATAATTATTTATTTATTTTTATTTAATTTATTTTTTGGGGGGACAGGGTCTTACTCTGTTGCCCATGCTGGACTGCAGTGGCACAATCTTGGCTCACTGCAACCTCTATCTTTCAGGCTCAAGTGATCCTCCTGCCTAAGCCTCCTGAGTAGCTGAGACTACAGGCATGCACCACCACACCTAGCTAATTTTTGTATTTTTAGCAGAGATGGGGTTTCACCATGTTACCCAGGCTGATCTTGAACTCCTAGGGTAAAGTGACCTACTCACCGCAGCTTCTCAAAGTGCTATGATTACAGGCTGAGCTGTCCTGCCCGGCTCATAATGATTTATTGTGTAGAATGAGAAAAATCCATTTTATACTTAAAGGTATGTGATAAATCAAAAGTAATGTTAATAAATAATATTAGTCTTTGTAATTTTTAATGTATCAGTTATAATTTCTCATATGAATAAAGTGCGTGTCTTACTTACGATTAAAAGCTAATTAGTGCCTATGATGGTTAATTTTACCTGTCAGTTTGACTGGGCCAGAGTGTCCAGACATTTGGTCAGACATTGTTCTCGGTATGTCTGTGAGGGTGTTTCTGGATGAGATTAGAATTAGTAAACTGAGTAAAGACGATTGCCCTCCCTAATGTGGGTGGGTCCCACTCAATAAATACAACGCCTGAATAGAGCAAAAAACCTTCCAAAGAGTAAGAGGAAACTCCTCCTTCTGGACTGCCTTCAATATGGAAGATCTATTCTTTACTGCCTTCAGACTCAAACTGAAACATTGGCTTTTTCTGAGTCTGGAACCTGCCAGCTTTGGACTGGAGTTATATCATTGGCTTTCCTGGACCTCTAGCTAGTCCACTTTAGATCTCAATACATGTTAGCCTTCATAAATCGCATGAGCCAGCTTCTTATAATGAATTAATGAATCTCTTCTCTCTCTCTCTCTCTCTCTCTCTCTCTCTGTCTCACACACACACACACACACACACTTTCTCTTTCTCTTTCCCTCTCTCTTACTCTCTCTCTCTCTGTTGGTCCTCTTTCTCTGGAGAATCCTAATACAAATCTTGGTTCTGGTATGATCTGACAATAGTGATAAGTAAAATATCACTATCATATACTCTTAATCAACTGTAAGCAGCGGAGATCCACATGATTTTATATATGATACTTCCAAACATTTTTGGCAAACTAATAAATATAATGAAATTGGCTGGTTGCTCCTAGCATCACTATACAAAGTTGGAAAAGCAAAGGATGAACTCAAGGATTCAAATTGCCAGCTCAGGCCCCCACCCGAGGGACTTCCAGGCACTGCCTGTCACATATCTGGTGAGGACCTGTCTGTTACTACCAGGAAGAACCAGGCATCACCTGTGTCCCCAGATCACAGCAGGGGGTTTGTAAGAAGGCCATGGGTTCTTAACCTGAGATCCATGGATCACCATGGCTGTGTGAATCTGAAAACTTGAGTCCAGGAGCCTCAACTTGGAAAAAAAGCCTCTTTATGGTCACTAACCTCTACTCAAAATCAAACCTTTTCTCCCAGGTGAATGCAGGCAAGGAAGCACAACAGGGTTAGAAGGAACTGTGCATTCCCTCGGTAGAAACCACAGATGTTTTCCAGTTCTATGACAGTGGCTGTAGACACCAGGAAATGTGCATCACCTCCTCACTGCTTCCAAAAGTGGGACTTATTAGTCTTGCTGCTTTTTAATGCATTACTTAATGTGTTATCTTAGAAGCATGTGTATTATCTTTTTAACTAAAAATTTTTAAATAACAAAAAAACACCAAACTGCCAGCTCATTGCTGCATAAATGACTTGAAAGCACCCAAATGTGCTCTGAAGGAAATCCTTATCTCCTATAGTCACAGGGCTCAGATTGCTGAAAATCAAACCCAGAATCTCATTCTGTGCCAGAATTACAACATGAGTTGAACTTCCAGCCTTATAGAGTGTCTATTGTTAAAGTGACGGCATTAGTTAGGAAGGAATGGGAGACTTTCAGTTGGAATAGGGATGTGTGGGGAGACTCTGATGAACCTGGGGACATTTAGGCCCTGAATTTTGATGAGTCATCTTTGCCAGTGGAAGAGACCACTTCACCCAGTCTGAGGGGATTAACCTAGCATTACCTGAGGCAACTGTAATGGCATCCCCTGAGACAGTTGCCATACCAGGCAATGCTGAGTCTCCTCAGGACCCACTTCCACCACATTTCTTTGCTTCTAGACCTGTAACTAGACTGGTTAGAATCTTAGAAGATCACTAAAGGTGAGGTACAGAATGTGACTGTAAGGAGGTACATTACACTCTAAAAGAACTACTTGAATTTTATACTTTATACAGACAGAAATCTAGGGAATATGTGTGGGAATGTGTTCTAAGGATGTGGGATAAGCGTAGAAGGAACATAAAGTTGAATTAGGCCAAAGTTACTGATAGGGGCTTACTAAGCAGGGTATGCGTTTAATGTTGCAACTCAAATTGTTAGAAAGGGGTCTAACAGTTTGATTGAGTGGCTGAAAAACAGACCAAAATGTGGCCCACCATGAATGAGTTGCCTTGGTTTAATGTAGAGGAAGCGATTCAAAGCTTAGGGAGGCTGGAATGTTAGAGTGGGTTTGTCGTTTAAGATCACTTACCAATCCTGGGAGAGTCCAGATGACATACTTTTTACCATGACTATGAGAAATAAATTTGTGAGAGGAGCCCTGGTAGCCTTGAAGTGCTCTGTTATCACTCTTCTATGTAGGCCAGGCCTTACAGTGGGAACTGCAGGAACTGAATTGGAAAACCCAAATGCAATAGGAATGATTGGATCCCAAGGTGGTAGAGTCATAGTTGTGGCACTCAACCACCAAAGGCAAGGTGCACAAGTTACTGTAATGGGAACCAGAGTCAAAGCAGCAATCAGAATAATTTGACTTACACAGACCTATGGCATTGGAAAAGAGGGCTGCTAAATTCTACTTGATTTGAATAAAGCATAAAAGTTCTAGGTCAAGTGAACAAAAATCTAACCTGAATAAAAAACAGTGTCATGACCCCTCTATCAACTCCCAGATTTGAGCCAGTTTATAGATCCAGAGTCCTTGAATAAAAGGGAAGCTGGGCCTCCTTAAAGAAGGATCCCTGTTCACTGCCAAAAATTTATACTGTTAATCTTTCTCCCAGCATTTCCCAAAAGGACCTATAGGCTTTTACCAGAGTGTAAAGGGTAACAGGTGTGGGGCAAAGAAAATAATCAGATCTGGACATGAATTCTGAACTGATTAGTTTCAGTCAGAGTAGGGGGATTCTGAAAATCAGGTGATCAGTGGAGTTTTAGCTCAGGTCCATCTCACAGTGGGTCCAATGGGTTACAAACCCATCTTGTGGTTATTTTCCAGTTCTGGAATGCATAATTAGATATACTTAGCAGTTAGAAAAATCCCCACATTGGTTCTCTTCCTTATTCAGTGAGAGCTATTATGGTAAAAAAGGCCAATGGAAGTCACTAGAACTGTCTTCCTCTACCTAGGAAAAGTAAACCAAACACAATCCATATTCTTGAAGGAATTGCAAAGACTAGTGGTACCATCAAAGACTTGAAGGATGCAGGGTTGGTGATTTTCATTATATCCAAACTCAATTAGCCTATTTAGCCTGTATAGAAGAAAGATAGAACTTGGAGAATAGCAATGGATTATTCTAAGCTTAACTGGGTTGTTACTCCAATTGCCACTGGTTTACCAGATCTGTTTTCATGGTATAAACAAATTAACACACATTCCCTGTTACCTCTGGAAATAGCCCTTTTCTTCATCCCTGTCAATAAATCCCACCAGAAGTAGTTTGTGTTCAGCTGACAAGGCTGGCAGTACACCTTCATGATTCCATCTAAGGGATGTGACTTCCTCAAGATTGCAAGGATCTTGATTACCTTTTCTTTTGACAGAATATCACACTGGTCCTTTACATTGAGGATATACGTTTGGATTTAGTGAGCAAAAAGTAGCAAATACTCTAGATTTACTGGTAAGACATTTGCATGCTACAGGGTGGGAAGTAAATTTGACAAAAATTCAGGCATCTTCTACCTCAGCAAAATTCCTAGAGGTCCGGTAGTGTGGGATATATTGAGATATTTCTTCTAAGGATGAAGGGTTGTAGCAGGCCCCTCCTACAATGATAAAAGAAACACACCACCTAGTGTGCCTCTTTGAATTTTGGAGGTATTACCTCAATTGGATGTGTCACCAAGTGATCTGAAGTTGCTAGTTTTGAGTAAGGACTCTCAAAAACAAGAGAAGGCTCTGCAATAGGTCTATGCTGTCTCACAAGTTACTCTGCCACTTAGCGATATGGTCCAGCAGATCCAATGGTGCTTGAAGTGTCCACGCAGATAAGGATGCTGTTACAAGACTTTGGCAGTCTGCTAAATGTTAATCATAGCACAATCCCTTAGGATTTTAGAACAAAGCCCTCCCTTCCTCCATGGATAACCTCTCTGCTTTTCAGAAATAGCTCTTGGCCTACAACTGAGCCTTAGCAGAAACTGAACACTTAACTATAGCCCCCAAGTTACCATACTACCTGAGCTGCCCAGCATGTACTAGGTGTTATCCTACCTACCAAGCCATAAAGTTGGGCATGCACAGCAGCACTTCTTCATCAAATGGAAATGGTATCTACATGAGCAGGTCTGAGCAGGCCCTGATGGCACAAATAAGATATATAAAGAAGTGCCCTAAATGCCCATAATCTCCACTCCTGCTGTACTGTCTTCTCTCTTCCAGCCTGCAACTGTAGCCTCATGGGGAGTTCCCTATGAGCAGTTGACAGAGGAAGAAGTCCTGGCTTGATTTACAGATAGTTCTTGACATGCAGGCACCACTTAAAAGTGGACAGCTGAAGTACTACAGCCCCTTTCCCTGAAAAATATTGAAGGGAAATCCTCCAGTCAGAAGAACTTTGAGCAGTACATCCGGTGGCTCCCTTTGCTTGGAAGGAGAAATTGCAGGACATGCAATTGTATATTGATTCATGGGCCGAGGCCAATAGTTTGGCTGCATGGTCAGGGACTCAGAGGGCACATAATTGGAATACTGGTAATGGAGAAATTTAGGAAGAAGGTATGAAAGTATATTGTTCTGAATGGGAAAAATACATTAAGATATTTGTGTCCCATGGAAATGATCACCAAAGGGTAACCTCAGCGGAGGAAGATTTTAAAAATCAAGTAGCCGGGCGCAGTGGCTCAAGCCTGTAATCCCAGCACTTTGGGAGGCCAAGGCGGGTGGATCACGAGGTCAAGAGATCGAGACCATCCTGGTCAACATGGTGAAACCCCGTCTCTATTAAAAATACAAAAAATTAGCTGGGCATGGTGGTGCATGCCTGTAATCCCAGCTACTCAGGAAGCTGAGGCAGGAGAATTGCCTGAACCCAGGAGGCAGAGGTTGCGGTGAGCCGAGATCGCGCCATTGCACTCCAGCCTGGGTAACATGAGTGAAACTCCGTCTCAAAAAAAAAAAAAAAAAAAAATCAAGTAAATGGGATGACTCGTATGGATACTAGCCAGGCTTTTTCCCCAGGTACCTCTGTCATCACCCAATGGGCTCATGAGTAAGTGGCCATGGTGGCAAGGATTGAAGTTTTATGCATGATATCAGGAACAGGAGCCTGCACTCACCAAGACTGACCTGGATATGGCCATTATTGAGTGCCCAGTCTGCCTGCAGCAGAAACCAACATTGAGTTTTCCTTATTGCACCATTCTCTGGTAGCAGGTTGATTACATTGGACCACCTCAATTATATTCATATTGGAATAGCTACTTACTCAGGACGTCAGTTTGCCTTTTTTATGTGTAATGCTTCTGCCAAAACTAACATCCATGGACTTAAAGAATGCCTTATCTGCCATTGATCAAGGAACTTACTTCAGAGCAAATGCATCCAATGCTGCAAAGGGCCTGCGGTCATAGATTTCAGTGCTTTTGCTGTGCTCACCAACCATCTTGAAGTAGTTGGCTTGATAGAAGAGTGGAATAGTCTTTTAAGGACTCGGTTACATCACCAGCTAAGTGGCAGTATGTTTCAGGACTAGGGAAAGGTTTTCCAGAAGGCTGTATATTCTTTGAATCAGCTTCCAATATACAATGCTGTTTCTCCCATTGCCAGGATTCATGGGTCCAGGAATCAAGAAGTGGAAATGGAAGTGGCATCACTCACCATTATCCCTAGTGACTCAAGGGCAGAATATCTGCTTCCAGTTTCTACAGCCTTGCTCTGCTGACCTAGAGGTCTTAGTTCCAAAGGGAGTATGCTTTCACCAAGAAAGGTCTTAGTTCCAAAGGAAGTATGCTTTCACCAAGAGACATCGTGGTAACTTTTTGACCTGGAAGTTAAGACACCTGCTCAGCCACTTTGGTTATCTTATGCCTCTGAATCAACAGGAAAAGGGAAATTAGCAAAGGGAAATTGGACTGCTACTCCATAATGCAATAAAGGAAGAATATGTCTGGAATGCAGAAGATTCCTTAAGGTATCTCAGTTCCGTCATGCTCTGTGTTAAAGGTTAATGGAAAACTACAACCAAATCCAGGCAGGATTATGAATGGCCAAGACCTTTCAGGAAGGAAGATTTGGGTCTCCCCACTAAATAAAGAGCTATGACTAACTAGGGCTTGCTGAAGGCAAAAGAAATACAGAATAGGTAGTAATAGGAAAAGGTAGTTGTAGTTACCAGCTACAACTCTGTTACTAGTTACAGAAATAAGGACTGTCTGTAATTGTCATGACTATTTTCTCTTTATTTTGTATGATTTTTTGTGTATATATACATATATTTTCTTTCTTCTCTTAGTCTCTTATAATGTAACATAAGATATATTCATTTCACATCATATTACTTAAGTATGTCTAATTTCACATTATAGTATTTAAGTTATGAGATATCAAGGAGAAGAATTAACATCACTCAAGGATGTTACCTCTTTTTCTGGAAAAGGGGTTAGTGCTTTCTCAGTTGTACTAAAGATAGTTGTATCATATTAGAGGGAAGTATGACCTTGTTATCATTTTCATTTGCAGATTAAGTGTGGTATAAGGAGATGCCTATAGATGCCAAGTTTACAAGGGGTGGACTTGTGATGGATAGTTTTATGTGTCAACTTGGCAAGGTCGTGGGGTGCCCAGACATTGGTCATACATTCTTGGTTTATCTGCAAGGGTGTTTCTAGATGAGATTAACATTAGCATTGGTAGATTGAATGAGCATATTGTCTTCCCTAGGGTGGATGAGTCCTGTCCAATAAATTGAAAGCCTGAATAGACCAAAAATGCTGATCCTTCCAAGAATAAGAGAGAACTGACTGCCTCGAATCTGAAAGACTAGTTCTTTCCTGCCTTCAAACTCAAGTGAAACATTGGCTCTTTCTGAGTCTAGAGCTTACAGGCATTTAGAATGGAGTTATATCATCAACTCTCCTGGGTCTCCAGCTTGCTGACTTTAGATTTTGGATCTTGTCAGCCTCCATAATTGCATGATCCAATTTTTTATAATAAGTCTCTTTACACACATATAATACACACTTGCATGCGTGCGCGCACAAACACACACACACACACACACACATATCTTATTGGTCTGTTTCTCTGGAGAACCCCATCTAATACGATATCTGTTTTCTTTTCTTTTTTTTTCTTTTTTGAGATGGAGTTTTACTTGTCACCCAGGCTGGAGTACAGTGGCATGATCTTTGCTTGCTGCAACCTCCACCTCCTGGGTTGAAGCATACAGTATCTGTTTTCAAAGTATTCTACAATTGCTTAAGAATAGTGCTTTTAGCATTACTTTACAATATTATTTTTAGTATAAATAATTTAGTCAAAATGTAATATTGCTACTTACTTTTAAAGTTAATCATTATTTTCTAACACAGTATCCTTAGTGCCTAGCACAATCCTTGTAAATATAGGGTCTGAATAATTATTTGCTAAATTGATTTAACCTGAAATAGAGTTTACAAAGTTACTATAATAGATTGGTTTGGCACATAACTTTTAAGGACATTATTGTTATTGAATACGGTCTGTGGCTTTTAAATGGTTTACTGTATTCTAAATATTTTCCTGTAGCTTTATAAATCTGGTTTTATTTTATACTCCTTCTGATTTGTTGAGTAGTTATTTAAAATTTTTATTTTTCTGTCATATACAAAATTATTCCTTCCCTTGCTTTTTACCTTCCACAGTTTATAGCCATTTGCCCATTAATTTTTTTTTCCTGTCTTAATATTTAAATTTTCACTGATCACCTACCTAATTTGTCGCTGGTAATGTCTTAAAACGTAACTAGTTATTCAGATCTCTATCTGCCTTGGTAACTTCTGGGTTGGAAATCTTGCACTGGCTGTAAATCACATGAACCACTTTCATCAAAATCACCCAAAGTACTTATGGAAAATGGCATTTCCTGGGGCCCAACATTAGAACTATTGATTGAGAATTTTTAAGGAGATATGTACCAAGAATTTGCATGTTTAACAGGCTCTCTAAGGGATTACTAATGTTTGAGAACCATTATCTTAATTGGTGTTCTCAATCTTTCTTTTTCCTCTACCAGTACCTAACCCAAACACAATGCAAATCTAAAAACTAAAAACTTTTGGAATTTCACATACCTAAAATAATCTCCTGATTCCACTGCCAAAACCTGCTTACAAGGAGGGAGGCTACTTTTATAGTGAAGCTTTTTAAAAATTGAGGAAAAATTATGATTTTTTTTGCATGTGAGTTACCTCCCTAATAAATGATTACCTCAATTCATAGCTTTGTTTCTGGTAAACATCTTTTCAGTATCTTCAGATATATTTCTTAGGATTTTATTTTTGGTTTTGTTCTCTCTCCTATAATGTGGCACACATGTCTGTGTACAAACATAATAAACATGTCTTCTTCATTTAATATAAAATCTCAGAACATTTAAAAATGGATTGATAGTGTTAGCCTCCAAATTATTAGTTTTATTCCTCATCTTTGCCAAGCTACTTGAAAAATTAAATTAAAATTTTATGTTCATATAGTTAAAATAGAATTTTCTAGTTAATATTTGAAGTACTAATATTCATCATCTGTTATATATTCTAGGCATTTACATTGTTTGCTACACATTTCCTGGAACTATGCTATATTGATACCCTGTATCCTAATGTAGAAAACATGCATTTTGAAGTTCAGCATGTACAGAATACCTCAAGAAATAAAGAAGCAGTTTTGTATACCTACAAACTTTCTAAGGGACTCACAGAAGAGAAAAATTATGGTACTGCATATAGAAATTATACCTATACATTCAAGTACTATATATTTTCCTAAGACAAACTTTCATCTCTTCTTTACTTGGCTGTTAATCTAAGCAGATTTTTCCATTCTTTTTAGTGCTTATATTCTCTTAGATTGTATTTTCTGTGACAAACTCATTATACACACACACACACACACACACACACACACACACACACACACATATATAAATCTCTTAAAATTTGTATGAACCAGTAACTCTGTAAAAATACAGTGACAACTGAAAACCCTAGAAGTATTAGTTTCTATCCTTAGAAAATGTAATTTAGCTTATATTTGCACGTTATATAATTATTTGAAAATTATATACTTTCTACACACTCTTTCAGTAGTAGAGTCCTTTCTTTGTTTTCCTCAGGTTTGGAGTACTTGATAATTAAATCTAAAATCTTAAAAGGGAATCTATTACCAAACCATATAAACCATATATATTTTTGAGAGAGTCTCATTCTGTTGCTCAGGCTGGAATGCAGTGGCATGATCTCGGCTCACTGTAACCTCCACCTCCTGAGCTCAAGTGAGTCTCCTGCCTCCATCTCCCGAGTAGCTGGGATTACAGGCTTGTGCCACCATGCCCAGCTAGATAGTTTTAAACTTGATTAGATACTTTCTGTCTAAATCATTAAATCTCACAGATTCGGAGACTTTTCAATTAATCTGTACATGTAAGTTTCAAAAATTATTTTAGCTATGGATATGACCCTTTGAGGGAAAAAAAAAATATTTGTTTTGCTATTTAAAATGGAAAATCAGATGGACAACTTATTTATATCAGATGTTTAAACTTTATAAGCTTCAATTCTATGATCTATGACATGAGAATAATTTGCCATATTGTAGAATTACTGGAATTCAATGAATTATCAAATGTGAGCTGTGTTGCCCAGTGCCTAGCAATTACCAACATCTCAATAAATTTTGATATTGCTTCTATTACTTCTAAAGCAATAAATATAGTAAACTATTGGCATATAGTAAAAAGCCTATATGGCATTTATACAATAAAATTAAGCTCTAAAAACACGAGAATATAATTGATACTTTGAATTTGCATATAGAGTACTCACCTACCGTTATATCTTCTGAGAAATTTCTGTCTCATTGATTTGGGTGGGTGAATGTTTAGCTATAGTGTTACCGCTGTGACTAGATATTTATCTTCCCCTGCAAAACTCATATGCCTTTTGACCTTCTGTTAATCAACTATATTTGCAATTGGAATTTCAATGTTATTATTTTCGAACTATCTTTTTTATTCCGGATATCTTAGAGATATATTAAGAGTTAACTGATATTCTAATTTGCCTTATATGTCTTGGACAAGTAATTAAATCTATTAATTGGTAAGTTGTCATCCAGAATTTTAGAAAGCTTAATTCCAAGAATTATGGGGCAGTTCAGAAATGCCTCTAGAAGGGAAGTTTAAATCTGTGAATAAAAGGTTAATACTAGTTAAAACAAGCATAAAGATACCAGCAGTAACAATATTGAAGCCAATTTAAAACAAATAATTTTAGGATTAAAAGCTGCAGAGGTGTCATCACTTCCACCATCAATTGTCTTGGATGCCAAGGAAATCACAACTCAAATCACAAGACAAATTTTGGTAAGAAACTTTGTTTTCATTTGTTCTTTGAATTAAAAAAAATACTTTTAGTATAGATTTGTATTATGGCCTTTGATCTAAATATATAATAAATAATACAATAATTAAAATATTTAAAATAAAAACCTAATTTCTAAACAAAGAAAATCCTCTTTACTTCTTAAAACTCTTTTGGTTTGGCCTATTATAATCCTTGTAGCAAATCAGCTAACAGGCTAGGAGATAAAAGTTAAACAGTTCAGTTTCTAAAATAATTATTGCTATACTAACTTTATGATGAGAAAATAAATCTATAGTAAGTGGGCATTAAAAATAAAAATCACTATGCACAATATTTGTATAATTATATATTTTTTATAGTTTTCAAAGCTTTTCTACTCATCACATGTAAACCTCATAACTCTTTATGAAGTAGTTAGGTCTTAAAGGATTACTTCTACTCTTAATTTTACAGATTCACAGAGGTTAAGTGATTTGTTTGGAAGCAGTAGGTTCAACACTAAACTCACATCTGTTGACTAAAAATTTGGAAAATTTTTAAATGACAGTTTGTTTTATGTAAGTGTTTTTTGGTTTTGGGTTTTTGTTGTTGACTTTTTTTTTTTTTTTTTTT